TCAGTTTCCTTGTCAACAGTTTATCTTAAAATGTATATTTATGTACTTTGTTCCTGTCTTGCATGACATGAACATTTGCATAAGTTACCTAGAATTAATGTATCAATAAATCAAAGTCAGTTTGCCACATATTCTAAGCTTTAAAATGATACCTTGTGTGACCAAGGTATCATTGTGGTTGCATGTAACAATGGCTGCAACACCACAAGTTGAGGTGCTTCAAAACGGGCATTTTGGGAGCAATAACCAAAGGGTTCACATTTTGATACTCTTATTAGCTCCAAAATAGGGTTGGCAATAAAAAGCGGGGTGGGATGGGCAAACAGAACCTCAGTATGTTAATTTCCTGATCAAACTCATGGGATTATTCAACATTAGTTAACTCAGTTCATTTGCCACAAGTCAGTAAATTATTATACTGGCTATAACACAAGCATTCAAGTTCTAGTTATTATTGTGAAACTGTGATTGCATGACTATTCAAGGGATGTTGTTATATTTGCCAGCTAGAATTCTGCTTTGTCAGAACTGGACAGGCTGATTTTGTAGGTCTTAATTGTTTGCAGTGAGTTGGTGAACTGTTTATACAGCCCATGTTATAGCTCGTCATCATAATCATCATCATCATCATGATCATCATCATCTAATCCTATTTCTCATTGAGGGGAGCATAGGACATCCACTACTGCCTTCCATTTCTGCAGGCTTCAACCACTCTTTCAGCCTCGCACCAACTCATTTTGATCTCCCTCATGTCTTTCTGGGTGTGTGCACCATGTAATTCTAGGTCTATTGTTATGGCTAACTAACATTATTATTCAAGTTCCAATTCCATGTTTTTGTTTTGCTTGCCAGTATGAGTGTTTAGTTAATTAAATAGGCACATTCTAGTGTTCTTGATTTAAGTTCATTTCACTGTTTGTACATCATATTTAATGGTCTGCATAAGAACTATACTAAAAAAGCGGATGTCATAGTATGGGTTTAAAAAAGGAACTAAATTCATGTTTACTTTGAAATTTTCGTGCTATTACACAATAAACACAATAAACATTGAAGACATTAGAGCAGCCATGAATTTATAATGATCAGTTTTAGATGTTTTAGAAACAATTTGTATGTGGAGAAAATAGTTTTAAAAAGTCCTTCATGGAGCAAAACTTAATCTGTAATAAGAGGTCTGCTTTCTTTTCCATGAATCTTTATTACTGATGATTGAACACCATTTGTGTGGCCAGTAAGATTATCATGCCCAATTTCATGGATTCAGAAAGTTACTTCACTACAAAATTCAGCGTGCATAGCCATACATGACTACCGCTTTGTATTCAATCACATATTGGCTAACCCGAGATATTGCTGCTAGATATGTTTTCTCTGTGTGCTTAATTTTCTTTAGCAATTCAAAACTCATATTTTGATTTGCAATTTTCAATTGAGAAAGCGACACTAAGGAAGAACAAAGAACTGCCCAATCTAGCATGTTTAGTGTATGTACTTGATGGGCATCAAAGGCAAGGAAACATGAAAAAAAATTCATTTCAGCATGTTTCTAAACATTCCTAGCTGGACTTTCACAACTGCAATACCTGAAGTGCACAGGAAACAACATCTGAAACAAAAAACAACTTTCTTATGTAAATCCACTCCTTTACCATATGTATATTTTGAAGAAACCTTAAGAGGATGTATAGAGACAACCCTACCTGTGCCAGGAAAATTCAACTGGTAGAGGACTTGCAAAAGGTTAATGATTGCCAATCCACTGCCCAGAAAATACACATTGTTCTGGCTACAACAAAGGTCTATGCCAACTGACTCCTCTGAGGGAAACACAGTCCGCTCCCCAACAATTATGAGGAAAAATCGTCAGATTTCATCGGTTCATCATTGATCGCCATAAGGAACACAACTACCCACTGCACCTCACTGTGAACATGGATGAAATGACTGAACAATCAACCAAACAGGCAAGAACTGTGAAAATCCGCATCATGGGGAATGAGAAGAATCGAGTAACAGTTGTGTTGGCCTCCTGCGGAGATGGTTTCAAGGTAAAGCTGATGGTCATCTTTAAGCGAAAGATTGTACCAAAGATCAATAACAAGCACAGTGTTGCTGTCTCTGCCCAGGAGAAAGGATGGATGGATTTAGATCAAATGAAAATTTGGATCGAGAAAGTATGGCGTGCTCGGATCCTGGGGAGGAGAAGACGGCTTGTTTATGACGCATTCGAAGCCCAAGTGACCGACAGTGTGAAATCGTCATTCAAACATGAAAACACTGACCTTGCCGTAGTTCCTGCTGGATTAACTTCAATTCTTCAACCGCTTGATGTATCTTTATACAAGCCATTCAAAGATGGGGTTAGGAAGAAGTGGATGCAGTGGATGGCGGATGGTATACATGAGTTTACTGCAACAGGACGACAAAAAAACCCCGCGGAAGAGCTGATCTGCTCTTGGATTTCCGAAGCATAGAATGCAATTCCACCTGAAATGGTCACTGCCTCTTTCTTGAAATGTGGCATCACGAATAATTTGGATGGAACAGAGGACCATATGGTTTATACTGCACCTAAGGACACCAAAGAACTTGACGATTCATTCGTCAGGGAACTATTTCAATCAGACTCTGAGTCAGATTTCAAAGGTTTCATCATTTGAAAGATGCAAAACTTGAAACGTTTGTGCTAGTGCTGTGAGTACCAGTACAAATACACTTGCAGGTTTCATAATGCTTAGGTCTTTTGTAAAAAAGTTTAATTAATAGATCAAGAACTGTTGTACCTTAATGAATAATTCTAGATGTTATTGTAAATTCATTTCTTATTTTCCAGTTGTAGTTAATTTAATAAATATAAGTTTGCAAAAATAAACCTTTGGTTTTGTTTGTGATTTTTTTTTTTTTCAAGTTATGGACAAAAATCAGGGTGCGTATTATACATGGGCATGCATTATACAAGGATAAATACCGTATTTGCTTGTCAGCTTGGAGTTAACAGTGATGTGTTTCAAGAACCATCATCATCAAGAACACCAATAGAAAACTACACTTAGGTAAAAGAGTTGTTACTTGCCTGATTAGAGGCTTTGTAATATAATTATCAATTTGTTGTATCCATACTCAGTTGTTTATCCACTAAGTTTTAAGTAGAGATGTTTTAACTATGTGTGCTCAGATGTGGTGTGTTGATACATAAATAGGTCATTGTGATGCACAATGTCACACAATATAGCAACAATAACAGTTTTCTACAGTAGTTCACTTTTCTTCAACTGTGTAGTTACTGTACTGGCTATATTTTTTTTAAATAATACACTACAGTTAGACAATAAGTTCTACTTTACTAGAATCCTTTTTGATCAACATTTCTGCATAAGTCCCTGGACCAAGAGCACTTTCAAACATCTTAACATGAAAATCTGAGCTACCAAGGGTGCTATCATCCAGCATATATTTAGTTTTATATACCATATTCATAGATGGCTGCCACACAGAGCGCCCTGGATTGAGCCCTCACAAACGAGGCTGGGAAGGCCTCAGTGTCGTGAACAAAAAAGAAATCATACCATGGCATCATCCAGCTCTTCACTGAGAGAAAGTGATACAATTCTTACCAAGAATGACATTCCTGGGGCCTCTTTGGCTGAAATCCTTCATTTTCTCCAAAAAATGAAGAATTGAAGTTTTGGTTATGATGTTGCTGGGATTCGCTCAAATGTCACTAGACAAAAGTGTACCTTATGAAATGGTAAGCATTGTTACTCTAGTATTAAAACACTTGTCAGTGAAAATTTTTGCTTAAGATAAAACTGTGTTCTTTGTTTTTATTACAGGCCATGAATATAACAAGTGTGGTCTAGATAAAATGATAGTCCATCCAGATCTAAACAATATTTACACCAAAAGGATGACTAGGCTTTTAGTACTATCAGCAGAACATTCGCTTCAAGCTTTAACCCCAAATTATCCAAGCGATGCCTGGAAAAATTCACTGATAAGGATGCCTCCATTTATAAGCGCAGAAATGAATCATCCTATTGAAAGTTCAGGAAAAAGAATTGGAAATGCTGGTCACCATTCCATACCAACAAGCTTGAGGAAAGCAAAGACATTTTTAAATGACCGGTATCTGAAAGATATTAACAATCAGTGATAAAAAATACTTCTTACTGAGGACAAAGTTTTACCACAGTTTTGGTTCTCATTGTGCACTGTTTCAGGCCAAGTTATGCATGCAAACTGTTCCAAGTGTGGGTTATTGCAACCGTGCTCTCGCTTTTAATGAATGGTTATAGCCTGCAGGTTAAGCTTGTTTTACACCCAGAGAACAGATGAAATGAACCAAGATGAGGACAAGTCACCTGATTTGGTCTGCACTTCTCCACTTCAGAGGTGACATGTAAAAAAAGGCCTGGGTGATAACATCTCCCCTCAACCACTCATGGAAGTGACTATATTAAAAACAAAGCTTGATGAGACAAAGAACTGGGAAATAGTCAAGTCTCTGCTCTATGAACCTAGAATAAATCCTAGCCTTGACCTTCAGGCAGAAATGGAACTGAAGAAGCCTTCAAGCTATAAACACACAGATGGGTTTATCACTAATGACTAGGGAAAACTCCTCTCCAACCTTTGTCAAAACCAGATTGAGGCAAAGCCAGACTTGATCATTCTGTAGCTACCAACTTAAAAATAATCAGGCAAATTTGAAAGCCACCACTGACATTTCCTTGATATCTCACTTGAACAATTCCACAACAGAACTGTCTTACCCAAGATTTCCTTTATCTGCAAAGGATATATTTGTACTCTCTCATAACTTAAATGACACTGAAAAAAGACTTCTTCCGACACTGTACATTGATGAGAAATGCATAGTTTTGAATCTGCCATAAGGGACCAGCTGAATGGTAGAGCATAAAAACAGATTTACAGCCTCAAGATTTCAGTTAATATGTAAGAGGTAAAAAAAAACCATGACAAGTTTGCAGCTGACCTAATTAGCCAAAGCAATTCTCTTCTAGGTATGTGGAACATGGATTGAAAAAATGAACCAGTTGCATGAAGGGAGTATAAAAAGTTTGCCCAAAAGAATACAGTAAAGGTCCTTGTGTGGTCTTGTTGTTTCCAAAGAAATGTTGATTCTTGCTGCCTCCCCTGATGCAAGGGTTGTTGATTTTGGTATCGAGTGCCACTTTTGACTTGCTGAGGTCGTGTGTCCAGAAATTAAATAACATGTTGGTTTTTTACCATTTACAAAAGATCTCTGTAAATTCTGGTTGGTATGTAAATGAACATGACTTTTCGGTTTGTTCCACTGGAAAATTTCTGAAATATAAAGAATTTCTAAAAAGGCAGTCCTGTTTTCCCATTGGAAACTTTCCCTATGGAAATTTGTGTTCCGTTTCCTGATTTCTCGTTGTTCTTACTAGTCCCAAGCCTTTCTCCATCGTTTTTGCAGCCAGGCTCCTCTCATACTCCTGCCAAACAAAATGGTCTCTGTAGGCAATTTGTCACAAACCAGCGTTCAGAATGTGTGGGATTGTTCTGATGCAGATTGTAGGAGTGTTCTGATGCAATGTGTCCACCAGAGTCATCTCAAATCCTAGAGTGATGGGAAGATACTGATGTAAGACTAATTGAATAACAACCTACACAGATAACAAGCACGTTTCAATGGAAATTTCTGAAGTTTTCTATGGAAAAATGGTAAACTCCTGTTACCCCTTTAGAGGCTTGCAAAGATTCTACATTCTCCTGTGCAGCTGTCAATACACATTGCAAGCCCAAAAAAGATCACACATTATGCAAATGTTCAACGCTAGATGAGCGTATCTAGAGCATCCTGCTGTGACTTCACTTCACTTCACAAAAAAAGAATTTCTGTTGAAAGGATCGAATTTGACCCTGTATACTGGGGTGAACTTAAATGAAAGCCTATTATTTCACACATTTTATAAAGCATGCATCATTAGCAGTGTACATGCTAGTTTCACTCCTTTTAAGTTAATTCACTCCTTTACAGTTAATTAGATGGTCAATGTATTTCTTCTAGGTTATAAAAGGTTATAAAATATGCTTCAAAGGAAGTGTAAATGTTAATTTTCTGTGGGCTAAATTTTCTGTTTTACTCATCTTTCCCAGTTACAGAATCAATCAATTTGTAAATACACATTACAGTCCATTGGATTAACTTTTTGTATGTCTCCCTTTTCTTTCATTTTTATACCCTTTATACAAGCGAGTTATTATAGTATCATCAACAGATTACATTTGCATCACACACTTGCAATAATTTTAAATTCATAAATATTTTATTAAATTGTTACAATTTCAGTTTTTAATCTAATTTATTCCTATAGACTGTAAGGTATGGGACTATCATGGAGAAAAACCAAAGGAAAAATACTTCAGCGCAGCCAGCGTCCAGAGAAAAAAAGGAAGAAAACTAATGGAAAATGACAGAAGTTGAGGTGATTAAGGTCGAAAGCAAGAGGGAACCCAAGTGTTTGGTAAGCAAAATTTTGCAAAAATCTAGAAACCATTCAGTCCAAGTTGACAAACAGCATTACCAGCAAGGAAAAATGCCAGATATGGGAGGAAATAACCATAGACCTGAACGTGGTGGGTAAGACGAACTGCACAGAACAAGAGGTACTAGACAAAAGAAAAAATCTCCAGTCTACTGCGAAGGAGGAATTTTCATCATTCAAGAGGGAGATCATGAAAACTGGTGGTAGACCAAAACCAAAGCCACCCTTGCAGTCAAGCAAGCAAATAATTGAGATATTAGAAGATACACCTGTTTTTGCTGGCTGGCAGGGCTTCAAGAGTGGCAATGACTAACAAGCTGATAAGCAACTGTATGCAAATTTTCATTGTTGTTATTTGAAATTTATGGCCTGGCAGAGATAAAAATCATAAGAAGGAACTTTTATTGGACAAAAGAAGCGAAATACTCCCACAATGGGAGAATTTGAAGTTTGAATCTGTTGCTTGGAAGAAACAAACTCAAATTCTGTTGCAGCCAAATATCAGAAGCACTGAAGATACCAACTTTCCCACCACAACAGACTAGACCTTACATACAAAGGTTGCTTGTGCAGCACAACCTACCAGGACACCTATTCAGCATTTCTTATAGTTGCAGAGGCTGCATGCACAATGCCCCTCAACTATAATATTGTTGGCTTGAAAGGGGTGAAAGTGTTATTAACCCTTTAACTTGCAATCATACATCATCATCAGCAGCAGCAGCAGCAGCATCACTATCATCATCATAAAATCTTTCTTTATCCTGACAAAAAACCGATTAGCTGAACCTAAGGGAGCAGCTGGTATAAAACAGGCAATCAGGAATATAAAATATATACAATATATACATATGTGTATGATGGGACCCCCAAGGGGTAATGGCCCTCTAGAGTACTGCCATTATGTCCCTACATACATACATACATACATAAACTTTATTTGAGTGTCGGAGTATTTAGCTAAAGATAACTAATTGGGGACACTAACATACATACAAATATAAAATATAAAATACTAATATTATATAAAATATATAGATAGTTAATAATTAAATATATGTTTTATAGGTCTAATTGGTTAAAAAATAAGTTCAAGATTACTTAAATTGGTTGTATTATTATTATGTTGAGCAAGCATAGCAGCTGCATCTTCCGTCCAACATATCTGTCAGGTTAATGGCCTGAACTGCTTTTTTAAATTCATGAAGGCTTGTTTCAGTGAGATTACATGAGTAAGACGTGTTCTAGTTTTGAAGTTGATTTAAGTGATTTCTTACATCACATTTCCCACAATTTCTGCATAGACGTTGCTGTTTGATATCTTTCAACTGATGAAGAATGTCACTAGGAATAAATACTATTCTTGTCAATAGATATTCACAAGGAGCAATATCTTCACTTTGTTTAGTTTCCTTCAAAGGTTTGTCTTCAAAATCAGAAGTTATTTCAGGCCATAATGGTGATTTTGGTGCAGCACCTTAGAGCACCAAAAAATGACACATTCAGTTCTTTCAGAAATACATATTCATCTTTATAAAACACTCAAAACCTTGCAGTATGGCCATCATCACCACACAAGTTGCACAGGCCTGGTCAGCATGGTGTTCATGTGAAACTTCCTTGGTAAGTTTGTCCAAATGGAGGGCCACTTGACACCAGGGTTTTCCAAAAGGTACTTCTGTACAATATTTACCCTAGGACCAAATGATCCTAAAAGCCATCATTTCCATTCACTTTTTAGCCATTTTGTCATAACTTCACATGTAGTTTACATGTTGTCACCATATTTGGAAGTGAAAGGAAGAGTCCAACTTTTGGAAAAAAAATTGACACCAATATATATCAAATTAAGATGTCACAGTCAGGTGATGTCATGCTATCATTTCACTTAAAAGTTTTTAAATTTTCTAGTTTTAGTTCTCTTTTCGAAAGAGGTATTTAAATATTACTAATGAATTTTAAGCAACAGATCTACATAGTAGGTAAGGAGCAATTTTTCAACAACTACAACCATGGACAAATTGTGTTGGAAAATGCCAAAAACATAAATTCATAACCGTAATACTTAGAGAATAAGTGCCAGCACCCCCATTTCCCCTTCCAATGTTGGAAAATGGTAAAATGAAAACTTGTGTTAGATGAAAGTGTTTTGTCAACATTGCACAGGGGTGGGGAGGGGCAAAATGCATATAAAATGAATTTTTCCTACCCTTGTGACCAAGGTTGTAGATCAGTGATTGAATCCATACTGAGCCAATGAAAATTTGGTATCCAAGTTCACTGTCCAACTCCCCACCCCTCCAGAATTTACTATTCCACCGTATAAATGTTTTCTATAACCCCACATTGAAAAGAATTCTTGTCCTCACAAAAGGAGAATTTGAAGGGAATTACAGTGGCACTTCTTGAACCACGCCACCTACAAATTACCTACCAGGTGATCAAAAGGTAAACTGAGAAAAATGGAATGGAATCTTCTTCAAGAAAGCAAGGGTCTATTTGACATGAATACTATCAACCCTCTGTGCTATATTTACTTTACAGATTCAGTCCTCGACTGTGAATTATCATAATTATAAGTTTCACTCAAAAAACTTAGCTTAAAACTCATTTGGCACCACCTAGAATGAAACCATTGAAGAGCAAACAAAATTAAGGATCAAAAGTAACCAATCAATGACAGCAAAGTCTATTGAGAGTTCTGCTACACTTCCATTGTGTTTCCAATTTTATTACAGAAATATTACAAAATGAGATGGTATGGAAAGCAGAGGCTAAGCCCTTTTAAGGTAAGCCCCAACATCCAATGAAATTCATCCCACTTCAGACATCCTGTGACACTTACAGCACAGTTTCTGGCCAAGAACAATCATTGACTGGAACATTCTTCCATTTGATAACTTGTTGATAAACTCCTCCACAAAACTTAAGGCCACCATCTCTGACCACTTTCATTTGTCGTAATTTTGTTACTTAATTTTGTTTATTTTATCTTGCATTCATCAGTCGTGTCACTTGACAATAATACAAGAATGCAAATGTGTCAATCAATGGCTTGTCCATCAGGGACTAGAGAAACTTGTAGCTGTTTTTAAAGGTATTTTCTCTCAATTTTAGATATTTCTTCATTACTTGTAAGCATATAAATATAAGCAACAAGGTGAACTATATTTTGTTTATCACAAAACAATCACAAGAGTCCAGTAGCAGTGCACCCCCTGTAAAAGTGTAATGTGTGTGTGATGGACCTGAGGAGAAAGGAAGGTTAGACAATTATGTACTACACCTGTTTTTGAGTCATCTGATCTGATATGGAAACTTAGAAAATATGTTTAGTAAACTGGATAATATTTGTCATCGTGGTTTGCTAATCATTGCTAGGTTCATGATTGCCTGTGATCAGTGTGCTAGTTGGTTCCATGGCAGTTGCATGGGAATAAATGAATACGTGGCAACATCGATGGAAATGGAAAACATCCCCTTTGAGTGCCCTGAATGCAGGAAGCCAGGTATACTTGAAAAATGCCAGTGATTCGTTTTATCGTTTTGTGATGGGAAGGTTTCCATTTTACTCAATAGTATAAAACGAAAGTTTCAACAATACCATACTGCAAATACAACCTTCAACTGAATCACTATTAAGAGTGCACAGTTTTTTCAACTGAGGTTCAGAGTAAGACTTCATCTATTAATAGACTGTAATTTATAGGAATTAAGGAGTGTCGAATTCCAGCGAAATGGTTTTCTCTTGTACCCTCGTTCAGGCTATTTCCTTATCCTGTTGCCCATGCAACTAGAAAGGGACCAGGATGCAAAGATTGCGGCGAAGGGTGTTCTGGACACTACATAACGGATCCACCAAAGTACTTGGCTCTTTATTCCCAAGGTAAGGCAGTTACATAGCCACCTCCTAATCGGAATCTTCAGGAATACAACAAGAAGAATGAGACGTTCCTGGAGGCCAATATTGAGAACCTGGCTAGTAAATGTCTCCTCCCCCGACGAGGTTAGGCTTTGGCTTCAACATCTTCAGAAAGTAGCCAAAAACAGGAGGGAGGGCACTGAAAAAGCCAAAGCTTTCCGACGAGGGAAAGCAATAGGTGCATTAACCTGCATGGTGAGCATTACGTAGTGTTTATTTTTTTACGCAAGAGAAAACAGGGAGTGTTCGCAAAGCAAAAAGCAGAAAACTGTTCCTTCGCGCAGAAACGACAGAACATCGTAACTAGACTACGAGTAGTCCCTCTTTCAGTCCGTCATGTGTTATGCGAAGGAAAACTGCAATAAGAAAATGGCCGCATGATCTTCTGGGGGCAAGAAGCGCATGTCTCGCTCCAAGGATTTCACGCAGCCATTTTTTTTCTCGCGGTTTTCTTTCACATCATGCACGATGGACTAAGCGGAATAGGGACTACTTGTAGTCTACATTGTGACAGGCCATTACAAAGTAGTGTTCCCGTATGAAAACCAGACAAAAACTTGCGCATATAGTCAGAAATAAGTTTTTTTGCCTCATCAAGAGTCACAAATTAAAAGTTTTGGTGTCTTACAAGTCGGTTTTATATCCAGGTTTCATTTTAACATCATTTATATGAACTAATAAAATTAGACTAAAATGTTTACAGCATGCCAACGAAACCCTTAAGAGTCTGTGTCAGTAAAAATCAGATATGATCATCAAAATCCCAGACAGAGCCAAAAACTTGATTTCCCTCATACTTTCTATATTGATAGACCCTTGTACCAAAGTAAACAAAAAAAGGTTAGTTTGTTATAATATTCAATTTTTTGGGAGTAATTAAATAAAAACCATTGAGTCCAGATCAAGCCAAATTTCCATATTCGAACTCTTGAAATTCTGTCATGTCCACAGCTTGTCAGCGTAAGTCAAAAATTATCTGTGAATTTTCCTTTGCAATAACATTATAGTTTGGGCCTTGAACAATTCATTGATGACAAGAAAATGAGATATTCTCTAGTTATAAATATTTTATGAATTTTTCTCGAAGACACCTTGTGGATGTNACGGAAGAGTGCGTGCTTATTCTGTTGCCAGCCAAGTTGGTGTAAACAATAGAACCACATCAAACTAATACACAATGCTATCGAGTAATAGCATTGAGGAGCATTTCAAGGAGAAGTATTGAAGGTAGAGATCTTTAATTGACGGAAATTATATCCCACATAGGTGAGCGAGTCACCTCATCGACTGATGAAATTAATTGGTTTCAGTAAGTACCATGGAGTCTGTGGCAATAATAATGAAGTTTCTTTTGACACAAATGTATTCGTTTTACATGTAACTAATGCGTGAAAGTTTCGGCTGAATGTAAACTTTGTGCTCTCTTTCGTAGAAGAGGAAACAAACAAGCTGCTAAGGAGAAGCAATATGTTTGCATTCTCTATTTCAACCCTGGCAAACACAGAATACTTATGAAACAGCAGACAACATTTCTTGAATCGAGCTAGGAAGGTTCCAGAAGATACGCAGTCACAGTAGTGTTCTTTGCACTAAAAAAGGAGAACTGACGTTACTTGAAATATAACTGCTATCCCCAGCCAAACGAGAGTGTGATATCACTCATTTACAAAAAATTTAAAAAAAGCATGCATCTGAACTGGAGAACAGAGTATATCACACTAGCAATGCCAGAACGCATGCTTCTTACATGTAATGTTCTACCACAAGGGATAACACTCAACGTTTGTGGGTAGTCCCGTATGAAATGTATCTTTCACCTAACATATAGTCGACTTTGACGCAAACTAATCTGCACATGCGTTTGGGGCAAATTGCTTTTGTTCTTAAGAAAATGGCACCACAAGGATAGCATGAGATTTGCAAAACCATATATATATATATATTAAACATTTTATTAAAGAAAGCAACGTAAATATGACAGTAAATATGACCCCACCCAACTCCCCTTCCTGCAAGGATAACTGATTGATTGAAATTAATTAATTAAACAAACATTAAAGTTTACACCATATGGCATTAGTGCCTTAGCAAACATCAGCCCCCTAAACCATCCTAATAGTGCACCCTGCACTAAAAACTGCAGAGGTGTTGGAAGGCAACAATCCCAGGGGCTGGGCATTTGCCCTCTTTCTTCGTCCCCACCTTGGGGCATTTAGACAGCTTATGTGTCCGCACCTCAGGAAATTTGCCCATTTTTGGAAAAAAATGCTAATTCCGGGGTTAGCCCGAGAGGGGGGATGGGCACTGCTGAAATTGATGCATTATCAATACACTCTGCTCACGAACTCTGGTAGGTTATCACAAACTTTTTTCAAGGAGTTTTCCAAGATAACGCGTTACAAAAGCAGTTATTACTAGAAAAATAAAGCCGATGGGGATAATGAACCATGCACCAAGTCACTCTCGAGCTGCATTCTTACCTCGCAGAAAGTGGTTTTCCTCGGCTTGGTCAGCTGTTGTTGTCTTTCCAGTATTCGCATGTATACCGTCGATCTCGAGGACTAGACACATTTTCTGTCGATAAGAGTGCAAGTCAAATAGAACAAATAAGCTCTTGACAGTTTCGAATACTCTGTTAATAAGTTTAACTTTTTACGTTTTACCTGGGAATACTCGGCCACCGTGTCACATGGTCGCTTTGACGTTCGATGTCCCAGGGTCACAAAAAATACATGAGCTTTACTTGTCTTCCGGATATTCACATTGTTAGGCTTTCACGCGTTTCAGGAAAAGCTTTTTACGGATAACTGAAACATAGTAATTGCATCTCCAACGCCAACCAGAATAACAAACAGAACCTCGAACCCTCCGGAAGACGCTTCAAGCATGCAATCCAACAGCTGTGCTCCAGACTGTTGCACGTGATCTGGTAGTATACGTCACCTTGGTTAACCAATCAAATCCCGCGATATGTTGGATGCTACTGCATGCGTTGGGCTCTTCAGCTGTGCTATAACATGAGTTTTATCACCCTGGAAGATGCTTGATCACAAGTCTCTGACACTCCGTTAAGGTGATTCCCTAGAAATAACACTTACTTTAGACTTTTCCAAATTTTTCGTGGCTGTTCCTAATAATGCAGGTTTTCGAAATGTGTGATAAAAAACATCTGGTACGGTGCTCGTTTAAGAGTCATAACTCGTGAAAGGTGCGTCAAAAATCCGTGCGGTGGTACCCATTAAGTGCGTTTTTCTTTTTCTGAATGCCGCTACGCGGGGTATCAATGGCCAAACACACGGAGTTAATACTGAAACGTCTCAACAGATGTATTGCATGTCTTAAAGGAACAATTTGATATGTGTTTCTTGCCAAAAATGTACTTCTTGGATCAGAGCTGACAAAGTCTCTCTAGCGTGCGTCCTCTAGGGGTAGTGAGATTCAGGTCACGAGTGAAAGGGTAAGTAAGCATTTTTGGCAGTAATATTTTTAAGAGAGTCTGCATACGAGCCAAGTGCCCACCAGGTCGGAGCTTATCCCGGTTTCTGTAGCATGAAGCGACAAGGGGTATTTCTACTCCCCCCTGGATGGGATGCTAGTCCATCACAAGGTTACCCCCGGCATTAAGTTCGCCGGTACCCATTTATACACCTGGGTGGAGAGAGGCACTGTGAGAGTAAAGTGTCTTGCCCAAGAACACAACACAATGTCCCCGACCAGGGCTCGAACNGAGGCCACCGCGCCTCCCTACTCATTCAGTGGAAAGGCAATGGATTATACACTAATTTAATGCAATCAAAAAAGATACGTTACGGTGCTTATTTAAGAGAAAACAAGCATTTATTTCGCTGTCAAGCTTAGCTTGGTGGAAATCTCTTGCGTTGTGTGTGTGCAAGCGCTCATGTGCGCGCGCTAATGACGCAAAAATCGTGCGCAGTAGGGATGCGCAGTAGGGATGGTGGCTCTCTAGAGTACTTACGAACACCCTCCTTTAAAGAGCGCGAGGTAGAAAAGGAAACTTAGTTAATTTATCTTAAACTTTTCCCTGTAGAGATTTACCAGTATGGGTACTGTTAAAATAAGGCTTATTTTTCGGTTATCAAATTTTTGGATTAAGGCCATTACCATGACAACATCTCATCTAATGACAGGCAATATTTATACTTTCCTTCGGTGAAATTTTTTCGTACTTTGCCACATCATGTAAATGATATTGCCTAACATTTTGAATTGGTAGAAAGTCAAGGTTGTTCGGACGGTCTTTTCAATATTCTGTAATTTGCATTCTTCTAAATATATTAGATTAGCTCTGACAGATTTAACAAAAATAGGGTCTTTTATAGGAATTGCATGTGGTTACAACTGAGCCAAATTTTATAAAAAAAAAATCATCGAAGGAAACGCGAGGAAATTCACTGTCAGTTTTGCTTTTTGTGCTCATGTTGACATCATAAAAAATCGAAAAACACTGACGTTTTCCTTTGAGAGAGCGCAGATTACTTGAGCTTTCGTCCTATGCGCTCGAGCAATCGTAAAACTATAGGGAGCCACCTTAATTTAAGGTGATTCCTCAGAATTGCATTGCGCATCCCTATTGCGCACGATTTTCGCGTCATACAAAACATGCACAAAATGGTGACTTTTTATAAGGCTTGGCTTGCGAGAGACAAATCATCATTTTTTTTCCTCGGAAACAGGTACAGGGACCTAACGATTTTTTTATTTAGTTTGAATGCAGAGATCATCTTCTTTCTATACAGTGAATATGAACCAATTTCGATTGCAGACTGAAAAATTGTCACGGAAAATGAGAGCATAGCTAGCACTCGTAGAAGATGATGTGTGGCCCCAGAACACTGCGTGCTTGGACCATATTGAATCCCTGTCGACTAAATATGAATGCCTTTATCATGAAACGTACATCAAATTGCTCCTTAACATTGTTGCAACACATCCATTGCTGTATTTCACGCTTAACTTTCTCGCTATTTTTCTGGTCTCTTAAAGCGTAAGGTGACTAGTTTAAATATAACCGTTTCTGAAAGCAGATAATTTCAGGAATTATGGGGTTCAATGAAGGTCCTCCTGCTCCTAAACGAATCCGGGGACACCCCCTTTTATCTCAAATCTTAAATTCTCTTGATATAAGCAGCAAACAGGTAAAGTTTGAATGAAAATCTATTGTGAGTTCGATTTCGATGGAATTACCTTAAGGTGATTCCTCGGAATTGCATTGCACATTACTTCTGCGCACGATTTTCGCGTCATTAGCGCGCGCTCACGAGCGCCTGCGCATACACGACATATACGAAAAGGTGGCTTTTTCTAAACAGCTTGGTCTGCGAGAGACAAATCATCGTTTTTTCTCGGGAAACGAGTTACGGGACATAACGATTTTTTTATTTAGTTTGAATGCTGAGATCACCTTCTTTATATACAGTGAATATGGACCAATTTCCATTGCAGAGTAAAAAACTATCACGGAAAATGAGAGCATAGCTAGCACTCGTAAAAGATAATGTGTGGCCCCGGAACACTGCGTGCTTGAAGCATATTAAATCCCTATAAAGTAAATATGAATGCCTTTATCAAGAAATGTACATCAAATTAGTAATAGTAATTAGACCGACTAGAGTACAATTCAGGGAGTAATCGAGCGAGTATTTTCAAAATCGGACGAGCGCGAAGCGCGAGGCCGATTTAAAATTACAAGCACGATTACTCCCTCAATTGTACTACACAAGGTCTAATTACTAATTAATAATATCTATAATAAATTTTGGAATTAAAAATGTCTTTTGAGATCTTTTTTTGAGCGAAAAAGCCTGTAACGCTTTTAATAAGTTTTGAAAACTGTAGGAAACAGTGCGAGGGAAACTATCAAAGAGCGCGTAATTGATTTGCAAATCACGTGGGTATCCAATTACAGTGATCCAATTACGAAAAAAATCAAATTGGATACCTGTAATTTGACACCCACGTGATCGCGCGCCGATTATGTGTCAAATAGGCGCGTGAAGAACTAATCACGGTCGAGAATGTTGTTATAGATACGACTACTTCTTAAATTGATGCAATACATCCATTGTAGCCTGCGAGCAGGCTCACGTTGGAGCACAAGCGCCCGCGGCGTAGTCGCGTGCGCGACATCGAGCGGCGAAATCGAGCAGTTCTTTTTCGGCTGACTGTCGCTACGTCAGCCTGGGCCGCCCGCGCTTGCTTGTTCCTGTTGGTTTCCAGTGCAAAGCTTCTGTGGTGCTGTTGCTTGCACGCTCTCTCAAGACATGGTTTATCCAATTCCACCTTCTTAACTATTCCTGAGGAAAGGATGTGGTTGTTAAGCCAGGTTGATATTTCAGAGCTACAGTCGAACCCCTATTAAGCAGCCACCTCTTATTAAAGGGGCCAGATATCAAATTCCCAAAATGATTGCCAGAAAAATACTGAATCCCTAAGCGATGACAGATAAGAGTCCTTAATTGAGATGACTACTGATTATAACATTGAAACACGGGTTTATTATGATTGTTTTGAAGTGATTCCATGTTCACTGACTTCAGGTCCAGCTGGTCACCGCAATAAAATCTTGCGAACAATAAAAGGTATCAAGAAAGAGGAGCTAGAGGAGGACATTCCAGATGAATTCCTGTGTCCTATAACACGAAACATCATGTCTGACCCAGTCATCGCAGCAGGTTGGCACATTTTGTAGGATTTGCAAATTGGGTTATTGCAGTATATTCTTTTTCCATGTTTCTTGTTTTTAAGGTGGCTCAAAACAGTTTCCAACACTTACATTTTGATGGATCGTTATAACCACTCTTTATCACTTGAAGCTACAATCATGGTATCAAAAAACTGCCCAATCATTGGTGAACACGTTGTTATAATTTTCGTGACACAGCAGGTTACCATAGCAACAGTAGGACCGCCTAAAACACCCTTAATTACAGCTTTAGGAGCTTGTAATTCAAAAACATCCCTCTGCCCCTCCGTCTCTCCGCCCATTAGTTGGTCAGTCAGTCACTTGGTGAACTGGCCATTAAGATCGTTGAACAGTCTATCAGTAGGGTCCGTCAACCTTACTCAGCTCAGAAAGTCAGTCCGTCTGTCCGTCTGTTCGTCTGTCTGTCTGTCCGTCCATCCGTCTCTTCGTCCTTCTTTCCGCCCATTATGGTTGGTCAGTCAGTCAGTGAAGACAGTCAATAAGTCGGCTGGTGTAATTTTTTAAATTCCATTTTCGTCTTGCAAGATGGTTACAGATACGAACGTTCCTCCATAGACGAGTGGCTGACATCTGGACGTTCAACAAGTCCGATGACAAATGCTCCTCTGAAGAATACCACTCTGACTCCAAACAGAATGCTGACTATGCTTATACAAAGACACTTCAGGGGACAAAATATGAACGTTTAGGACACTCGTGCTAATTAAACATTCATTGGTGTGATTTACTCATTATACTCGTGACGTCCGGTACCTTTCGCATTTAAGCGAATCGTATATGAGGATCCTTATATTTTATCTTATTATTTAACAATATCATCTCACA